CGCAGCCTTGCATTAGGGTACTGTCGCTTAATTTTACATTTACTTTTCCACATTAAAATGGAAAAATATTTAACAATGTTATCATTTTAGGCACAGTCAAAGTTAAATATAAACATACAGCTGGTTGGTTGTGTCTAAATAACTACATTATGTTCGTTCATCACAAGTCCGTTGCTGAACAGAGGCCCCCCATATATATTGTCACAAAGTATGGTACTGAACCACCTACATATTCATCTTCTTCTTTTAAATTATGGCTTAATAGAATTCTGCTAGTGTCAAGTCAGTCACGGGAGTTACAAGTAAATAATTATTAATGGAGAGTTCTCAATTTTACGAGTGATTCACAATCTATTACAAAAGACGTCACATTTTCAAATACCGTCACCAAAATGTATCATATTTTATCAGGTTGCACTCCATCTAGTGGGGATTAAATGAAATAAAATAAAAAAATTAACTTCGACTTAATTTTGTCCGGTATAATCATAGTTAATGCTATTTCAAAACAATATTATTGGGTACAACTTCAATGGTTACGTTTGAAAAAGAAAATTATTTGTGATATATACATCGCTATAAACAGCCACGATTATGAAATATTTATTGCACTCACACATTAATTAACATCTGTATGTATAACAATAAAAAATTGATTACAATTTTTTGTTTCTTAACCATCATCATCAGGAAAATACAGCACTAAAATTGGGATTAAAACAGAAGCTTGAGAATACCAAAGAGAATAAATATAATCACTATGTTTTAAGAGACATCTCGTTATTTGATAACAGTAAAATTAGGGTCAGGTGGTCCTTTGATCATCTGTAAGCTATTTTGTATAGTTACATATTACTAAGCAAGGAAGGTTTGTGTATTTAAAATAATTATTTTATTGTGCCAACTAAGGCATTATTTGGTAGAGTGATTAAGAAGCAAAGAAGCTAAAGGTTAAGAACACAACCGCAAGACGTGAGTTCGAACCCGCCATTCCACTATTATCGTGTATCATTCTTCTTTCACGTAGTAGTGGGCGATACAAATCGTATATAGATACAATATTTATATATCGGCACAATATCGGACATCAAAGTAACTATGTATTAGATACCGCTGCAGTGCTACTGAACATCTGACATCCTACTTAAAGAAATAATGATAACATAAAATATCTATGATATGATACACTGTTTCGAAATTAGAACGAACCATGAGCTGCAAAATGATTCGAAATATTATTTATATTCAAGTAAAATACATATTAGGTATATCCTTCGACTTTTCTTGGTAGGATATAGTTGTTTCAGAGTATCATAGAGATATTAACTAATACCATAGTAAGTATTGACATAATTAGATGTTACAATATATTTTTAAACCTAAGCATACCAAATAGTTTACCCCTGGAGCTATCATGGCTCCATTTTATGGTATTTCCATACAATTTTCTATAGAAAGTTTCTATAATATAGTTAGGAGAACTATTAGTAAGAGTGCATGTTGGTTTCTCAATTGAAATGAAAGTTACCAACCACATTTAATAGGATTTATTTCAACATTAACTGAATTGCGAGTTTGGATTTTTTTATCCAAATTTTAACAGACTAAGCAAACTTAGTGTTTATATTAAGTTTGCTTAGTAATAATCACCAATAAAGTCTTTGGTCAGAAGCTATAATAAAGAAAATTAAATAACATTAATTTTACAATTATTACTTTCATATAGTTTTAATAATTGCATAAAGGGATGAATAACGATATGATACACATATTAATATATGTTTATAAAAATTTACTAAGTGTTTATTTCATAATGCATGCAAACCCATTTAGATTACCGTTTTGTTAACATCCTTCACATCAGAATGTCGTCTGGAATATAACTTCTAGCACTAAAATAGTCCTGACCGTGTAGTAACGGTGTAAGAACATCCACTACCTCATATCGTACAGTGGGTGTCGTAAGAGGCGATACAGAGAAGTAAACCAGGAGATGGCCAGCAGCGACTTCCTAGTAACAACTGAAAAGTAAAAAACTGGTTGTCAACCTGCCTGCCAAGTGTAGTAACTATGCAAGTGGTAAGTCTGGGGGATGCCCTGTCTGATATTCAGCTGAGCACTTTTAATAGTAATAAAACCGCCCAATATACCAATGTTCAAACATACATGTTTTGGTGGGTCCAATAAAGTATATTTATATCCTATTCTATGCTACATAACATGTAAGATATATCTGCAACAGCCTCCGCCTAATCTAATGATTGAAGAAAAAAACCTTACATTTTAGACACACCCAAACAATAGTGCCCAATAATGTTCTTAACATTATAAATGATACCATTACCATTCCAAGTAAGCTTAAGTTAAGCTTGCTTTTGTTAGGAGCGGTCCACGATAACCGGATAGCGGATTTAAACTCATATCTATCGAAGATAGGATTTACCCCAGAATAGCCATAGCGTCGTAAATGCTTTCTGGTGCGCAGCATATTATAGAAAAAACAAAAGTAATATGTAAAAATACATATGCTTAGTTAGGAATATTTTATATTCTATTAGCTGTTGTGATAAAAAATAATAAATTTAGGATTTATCTGTGCTACATTACGATTAAATGATAAAAAATAATTTATGTTTTGGACTTTAAAAAGTAATAAATTAACAATTTTCTTGTTCTAAAGAATAAAAATATTAAGGAACAAAAATATTATTTATTTATTTATTCTTTATTGCATTCACTATAAGAAAAATTCAAATTGTAGACAAGTTAATTATAGAAATTTTCAGGAGTATATTAAAAATTATAAAGTAAAATACATATTTTTGTAATAAGCATATTATCTAGAATTTTCACAAGTTTTAATTATTCCTAAGTCAATGATACCACTTTCTAAGTGAGAGTAAGGTTAAATAAGTGCCTGTTACTTTTTTCTTTTATAAAACTGAAGTGACAAAGAAACTCACAGTCTACCAGATGATAAGTGGCTATTACAGCCCATGTACATGTGCACGGCTAGCATGGGCTTGGGACAAAAATGTATCCCACGATTATATCCACTGACAAGAGATAAAATTATCTTGTCCTTATGCCAAAGCACGGCAACGGGGAAGAGTCTATCCCCGTTTGACATAACAAGTAGACATATATCCCCCTTCCGTAGCAATGGGCCAAATGAAAGATAAAATATTATGTTTTTTTGACATTTGAAAGAGACAATTATATCCTAGTTCATTGGAGTGGGTTAAAGTTTATATTCATACAAAAAATATATCAAGTCTAAGTATATCTCCCATTTTATCTACTGTGAATATTATATCCAAAGGTGTACCCATGCTTGAAGGGTGGATAAAACTAAGCGAGGGGATAAACATTTTCTCCTTTCCCCGAGGATAAAATTGTCTCCTGTCCATACTAGCCATGCTGCTACCAATTTAAAGAAGGTTACAGACGCGTTGTCACCTCTGAGGACAAAGATGGAATGCCTCACAGCCTGTAAGTATATTTACTCTATAACATTCTGATCAAAACACAGTATTGCACGCACTATTATTTGGCGACAGAAATAGGGAAGACGGTGGCACCTACTCAGCCCAGACTCCAAGTAGGAAAAGGAGCCCTATCACCTACCATTGTGTTGGGTAAATTAGTGCTAATTTAACACGCAAGTGCCAACCTCACTTGCACATAAGTCGTATCGGCCTGGAGATTTTTCCGGACCGATACGACTTATCCTTTCTAAAAGACTGGCAACGCACCTGCAAATCCTCTGGTGCTGCGGTTGTTAATGGCAAGTAGTCATTTACCATCAGGTGAGCCGCATGCTCATTTGCTCCCTCTTCTATTAAAAAAAAAACATGATGCCCCTCTGATTGCCAACCAATGGTATTCATATCCATCTTGGTATAGCAGATGCAAATCTCACACTCGATTTTCGTATTAAATACAATACTGTTGCTAGTGTAGATATAAAATGTCTGTAATAAATATTGTATACAAGCTGTTCGCGACTTCGTCCGCGTGGAATTTAATACGATTGGATTTCATGGGTTTTGATTTTTTCTTTGTGCAGAACCCTAATTCTTTTTCTATAATAAAAGTAGCCTAAGTTACTCTTTATACCATCACCTATCTGCCAGTAAATCCCGTCAAAATTGGTCTAACCATTTCGGAGATTAGCCGGTAGAAACAGATAGATAGATAAACAGACAGACAAAATCATTAAAAATTGTCTTTTTGTTATAGGCACCGTATATACTTCCATATACATTTAGTATAAAGTTATTTTAACATTACAAACAGAGACTTCAATTTTATTTATTTGTATAGATGTCTATGATATATAAATAAATGTCTATTAATAAAAAAAATGGAAGGACTGTTTCCAACAGAATATTTCTGATAAGAGTGGTCAAATTAATGTCAATTTATTAATTTTAAATTTGTCAAGTTAAAGTCCAAAACACAAATCTCACACCATCACACACATTCAAACATGACAATGCATCACAATGACATTTAAATTTTAATGAAATTCGCAATAGCTTTTGTATGGTTCGCTACATATATTGTAGGTTCAATTATTATGTACATACAATGTTTTTTTCAATGCAGTGCTTAGCTTTTCATCATTTACGTAATATCAAGTTCTAATTTATTTTTCTTTCGTAATTAAATGTAAGAAATCTATTTCTTTACGGACTTCAATTAAGTCAATTACTTCAAATATTAATCAATTGAAATAATGGCCACATTTCCAGCTATCCCTAGACACTTTAGTATTAAACTTGTAAAGAAACGCCATTAGTAAAAACCTGCATTCCTATGGTACATTTCACAGAATATGCGGTGAAAAATCAAAGCAGAGGTTAATTGTAGGTTTTCTTAATGTTCAGTGTTTATTTTTTCCACAATAAAACCGTTTCTATCTTCAGGAACGACACCAAGAAGCACTAAATAGAATGCACCGTATCACTATTACAGTCAACAACACTTTACACAGATTAACCGATGATGAGTCCGCAGCCAAACTTAAACTGCTGCTTAGACTGATTCGCCATGCCCGAGAGGGCGAATGTAAAGGGCAGAGGTTGGAGCTTCTTCTCTAGGACCGCTCCTATATTCCAGTTGGAATCCACCATTCCTGTGTAAAAACAATCTTTGTTGTATTATAAAAAGAATATATCCAATTTCATATGAGACTTAAGTGATTCAAGCCTATTTACATTATTAAACCAAGGGATCTTTTATGGAATAAACATCTTAACTGTTGCATCACAATTAATTTTGTTCAATATTATTTATGTAAGGTATTATTTAATACCTTTGACTAATTGGGTGATGCCCATTATTTTAACATGACCAAAAAGATGAAAAATGACCAAGAAAGAACTACCATTTAATCAAAATAACAATGCGACCTAAAACAAATTTGGTAGAGAAATTGTTAAAAAGTCATAACCATGAAGTGCTCCGGTTACCACCGTATCACTGTGATTTTAAAACGGTAGAATACGTATTTAATTTAATGAAATAGCGCGATGCAGATAAAAATGTAACCCAACCCAAAAGATTAATATATCTCTTTACTACTTACTTAGCCCAAAATACTATAAAAAGTATAACGCCAAGTGATTGGAAAAAGGAAGTCAACTACGTGAATGGCTTGCGTTTGTAAAAGTATTGGGAACAAAACAGATTGGGAGAAATTTTCGAAAGAGAGTTAATTATTACTATAGGTCAAAACAATGATAGTGACTCCACTGTGCTAGAAACTGATACTGAATGTGATACAGTTATGTCTGTTACTGATCCAATGGACTATTATGATAATAAATCTAAGTAACAATACCAAAGTTTTTTCATTAATAATTTTTCCTTTATTTATTTTACTATTTTACACTACTTTAGTAACATGTATATTTGTCAACCGTACTAACTATAGACACGTGACATCACGACGTCTTCGGCAAACTTTCTGCGCGCGCCTAATAATACAATATATAATCGCGGCTCATCGAGCCCGAGGATTAGAAATGGCGGCTCATCGAGTCCGAGGATTAGAAATGGCGGCTCATCGAGCCCGTACCGTCAACATACACAGTACCAATAGCGAATACCCGCTAATAATCGTACATCGTTATAACGTTATATTATTCGGTTAATTGGAAATTTTCTATTAATGGAAAAATATTAAAAAAGAATACGCAAGTAGGTACATTAATTTTAAAATAACATTTATAACTAGCGGCCCGCTCCGGCTTCGCCTGGGTGGGATTATTTAATGTGGCGTTACTTAAGACATAAGATAATCACTAAAGACCATTTATGTTATCTTATCAATAGTTTAATTTTAATAAAATTTCTTTCAAATTTTTCGGATAAAATTTAGTCTAGATTACTCCTTGTATTATTCTCTATTTGTTCGTGAAGTTTTATTACAATCGTTTCAGCCATTCCGCTTTTTCGCCATTAGCTCGGAGAGACACAAACGAAAATTTTAAAATTGTTACTCTTGTTTCAATAGTGCATAAATATTTTATACAAAAATATTAACAAACAAAATTAACAATAATTATGAGGAAAACTCTAAGAAAGCGTCGCACCTCATAAATTAGCGTAACTAAACTGATTTTTTTTTGTAGTTTATGGCACCACTGATTCCAATGACAAGTTGGACTGTAGTTATAGAACGTACGAAAAACGTAAAATGCTTCGTATTTTTTTTTGCTGTCTTTACCGGCGGGTGTGAGTATAGATAGCGACAGTGTGCGAGCGAGAGGTGAATAGTAGCGACGACATTTTCGATTGAACCCCAGACAAAATGGGGCAAGAGGCGACTATGGGAATTGCAAGAATTCATACTGACCTCTAAACACAAGTTCAGCCTTGGGCACAGTGACCTGATAGCCAATGGTGCCCACAGACTCCATTCCTCGGAACGACGTGTCCATTTCAGCTACCACCTGTAAATACATACATACATACATATAATCACGCCTCTTTCCCGTAGAGGTAGGCAGAGACCACTTCTTTCCTCTTGCTACGATCCTTACATACTTATTTCACTTCGTCCACTTTCATTATTCCCTTCATACATGCTCTTCGATTTAGGGTACTCTTGACTTACCCTTAATAAGTACGATAAAAACTTAATGAGTTTGAAAATTAGAGTGTGAAAATTTCTTTGGCCACGTTGAGCGATTTTTGGTAACCAAAACCAAATGAAACGCTCAGGAGGCGTGCACTTTTGGATTTTCCAAACTATGTTATTCTATTTTTCACAGTGGACTATGCAACACCTAACTGGGTGATGTATCTTTTATCGTCATCTTCATCAGCTCTTAAAGGAAAATGCATTTTTCCGGCATTAAGCCAAATATTTCCTTTTTTTTATAGGATAGGGTGACAAACGAGCACACAGTCCACCTGATGGTAAGTGGTTACTGTGACCCATAGACATCTACATCTATCCTCAATAAAGACAGATGCAGATGCGTTGTCACCCGTGAGGACTAACATGGAATGCTTCTTTGCCAGTAAAAAGGTTCTCCGGTTCTCTACACTCACCATACGAGACACAGCAGCGTTAAGCTGCTATTTTACGCTGGTTTTTTGTGAGAGCGTGGTCCTCCACCAATCGAGCCGACCCATTCGTGCTACAACTATACTACTAATATAGCTGCAGCATGGCTCTACCACGTAAATAAAATAATTATGATATATTACTATAAAATATAATAATTCCTAAAATAAGTGTTCCATGTCAAACAATGTAGGCATGGAAACCTTTCCTTAGGAAGGTTTTGCCTCTAATGTTACACTGGATAGGTGGATTGATGGTCGCAGTACCAGATGTGGTACCTTTAATGCTTCCCGTTGCCGATCTGGGTAATTTAGTTTAGGTTACGATGGGCTATTTTCCACAACTCCATATCTTAGTGCGTATTTTGCGTGTGGGCAGGAATATCATGATTATTCGAGCCATGAAATGTCTTCGAAAAAGGTCAACAGTCCCTTGATGTTGCCAGCAACGTCGGAGTGATCTCGGCGGCGAAGAGATATTTAGTGTAGCAACCACTGGACACGCCATCAACACGTGAACCTCTGTTCCCTCCGCCCTCATACATGTCATGTACAGGGGACTGTCTGTAGCACCTATGTAGATAAATGTTTGTTGAAACAGCTGTGTTCTGTAATAGCACTTGTTGCCGTCTTGATCTCTGGCTCGTTCAGATCTTGGTTAAACGATTGTTTATTGCTGGCAGGGCCTCGCTAGCTTGCGTGTTGATTAGCGAAGTGCTTACGCCAATCAGGATATTTCACACTTGACGTAGACGAGATGTACGAATGGTAGATACTTTATGGTCTTATACTATTAAAAGCATTTGAATTTACAAACCAACTCACCTGCAACTGTTCACTGGCCTGTTTGAAGTAACAAATGTGGAAGCCGGCGGCACCCAAAGTTGCTGACACTTCGGAGTCTGTTAAAAAGGTTGTTTATTTATTGCAATAATACTTTCTATACACTGTGTAGTGGCGGTGTTAGAATATCCACTACCTTATATCATACCGTGGGTGTCGTAAGAGGCGACAGAGAGAAACAAACTAGGATATGAGATGCAATGTCTTTTCTACCGACTTTTACCGGGTTGCTTGCGTACAGTGAAACGTAAGTTTAAAACTTACGTTTGACTGTACGCAAGCAGAGCAACCCGGGTTCGATTCCCGCTGGCACCAATGAAATTGTTAGTTGCAATTTTAAGGGCTTATTTACCACGTGCTCGGCGGTGAAGGAAAACATCGTGAGGAAATCGGCATGTCTGAGAAATAAGAAAAAAATTATTTCGTAAACATGTGAAGTTCGCCAACACGCATTAGGGCAGCGCGGCGGACATTTCCTTGCCCTAAACCCCTCTCAGAAATGAGAGGAGGCCTGTGCCCAGTAGTGGGAAGTATATAGGCTGTAACTTTAACTCTGTACTTCAATAAGAATTTAGATAAAAGGTCTTATTTTGACATTACAAACAGACACTTCAATTTTATTTATTTGTATAGATACAATATGTATTATAACAAGACCTCACCATCCATGGTGTATCTCGCAGCACCGGATGCTATGGCTATTTCACCACCCATCACTCTCGCACCAGACTGATACACCAGTTCCGCTCCCAACGCCAACCGTTTTGTCACGGACTGAAATTTCAATAACATTAATCACCTTTTTAATTTTAAAATACAGAAATATTCATAACAAAACCATAAACAACTTTTTTATCTCAACTAATTATAGACATTGGCATTGCCATATCTAAGTGCAGTCATTACCACATGTGTATATAAATTATAAAATACACATTTCAATTTTATTTCTAAATTGTATGTTAACACATTCATTTGTAAATCAATTCTTATAATTATATTATTAAAAAAAAATTAAAAATGTAATTTACAAAATTATCCCATACTATTACTACAAAATTTAACTTAATTAAAAAATAATTGTTATTACTTTACTTGCACATAATTTTAAGTAATTTTAGTCATTAGTCAATAGTCATTTTGTTCCAAGAATAATATACATTGTGTGAGAAAACTTAATTAAAACATAAAATATGAAATAAAATTAATGATTATATTATGTTGTTTAAAATGTATTGTAATAGGTTTTTGGTGTTAAAATATAAAATAATGCTTCACTATTAACACGTTGATAGCCATTTACAAAGGAAATATATGTTGAGATGTGTCTAGAAATTATTCAAACTTATTTTTATTTATTTATTTATTAAAATTATATTGAGTAAATATTATATATTTATCTATATTGAGTAAATAACATATTATTGATATTGGTGTGTAAAATAATTGTCTCCAGTAAGTATTATACTTTACTTGTAAAATTCGAAATAAAAAATAAATGCGAATTTTTTTTTGATATTCACATTTTTAAGCTTTATTTTCACTTTGACCAATTTTCTTTTAACAAAACTAAACTCTGAATTCTTTGAGCTTTTTGAAAATAATTTTTATTTGAATGTAAGTATAGTTTTTCAGTAGTAATCGTTTTTTTTTTGAGACAGTCTCGCGAGGTCGTAAAAAAAAGTGACATTTTAATGCGCGGACAGTTGGGGCAAGAATCACTCGCGCAACGTGGACGATTCAATGGATAAGCTCCTTAAAAAAGCATAGCATGCAGGGTTGATTTTGCTCCCTATATTATTTAATTCATCTTTCCAAGTGAAGGGCACAGGGAAAAAAGGAGCTCATTGACAATTTTACGTTTTTGGAATGAACTATACCATTTTACTTCGTTTTCTATGGCCAATCAGAGCACGTTATTATAAACACGATAAAAGGAGCTGATTTTTTGTAAAGTGAATTGAATAAAATTGTACTTTAGGCTAATACGCGCTCATTGCATTCTATACCGCGTAAAAAGGTGCCCATTGTCTATGAAACCACGCTAGAACGGGTTGATCGCAGCGATTGTAACAGAAAACGCGCTCATAGTCGGCCATCTGTATTATTTGGTCATACAAATGACAGCTGCCAGATAAGCTTCCTTGCATAAATTTTCCTCCTTTAGTGTACGTTAGGTTTTTAAAAGTTTTTGCTTATTTATCTCAAAACGGACTATAATACGTAGGACACTCAATAAGTTTTAAGATATACGAAAAGTATTCTAGATATTATTAATATTTATTTTACATCTTTTCAAAATATTCTCCATCATACTCTATACAAAGTTCCATTCGCCTAAGTCAACTCTGAAAACACTTGTCAGTCTTGATCTGACAGGTCGGAAATCGCTTCTTCGTAGGCAGCCACGGCTTCAACACCAGATTCCTCAATAAATGCTTTTGTTCTAAGGGAGGTATGTGAAGAGGCGTTATCGTGATGCAGCATGATTCCCCGAAGCCCGGTCTTTGGTCTTCTCTCCCGCACAGCTTGAAAAGCTTTGGGTTGACTGACCTACAATTTTCCAGCATTGACGTCGACAAATGTCCGCTCCGCAAAAAAAACTAGCCACCATTTTTTTGCCGACGTTGTGAGGTCTTTGCAGTATTGTCAGTAACTGTCCTTCTGAGTAGACCTATATTGATGATTGCTTTTTATTTTCCCGATCATATTGATAGATCCATGTCTCGTCACCAGTAACGATTTCTGAAACACGCCTAGATGCCCCGTTTTCAAAACGTAGTCGCATTTCATGGCACCAATCGACAGGTGTCTGTTTTTCGCTTTTGGAGAGCAAACGAGTGATCCATCGACAACAAAGCTTCCTCACTTCAAGATGTTGATGTAGGATGGTATTAATGCTGCCCGGACTAATGCCTACAATCTTTTCGATGTCCGTATATGTGATTTGTGGGTCTTCTCGCACCAACATTTCAGTAGTTCATACATTTTCTGCCGTTACTGCTGTTTGTAGGGCCCCGGTTCTTTTTTCATCTTTAAAATTAATTTTACCCGAATATGACTTACCCCACAAATAAATTTCATGCTAATTAACATGTATTTTATTTCATTAGTGTGTTTATGTAATTAGACATTGTTTATGATCACCAATTAATTTGTAAAATGTAAAAAGCAGATCATTGTGACAATGAGCACCTTCTTGCCTTTTACAATTGGGAGTTAGGTAATTAAATTACAAACTATTGTTTATTTACCAACCCAATATTTTAAAATAACAATATATTATGTTAAATATACACTGTTCCTTTTTTATATGGGTACAAATCATATTCTAGTAGAGTTGTTAGTGTAGAAATTGAAATTTTAGGTTTAATTCTTTTATTACTTGAAACAATGAGAATGTTAATGAGCTCCTTCTTTTCCTGTGCCCTTCAAGTTAAATAGGAATCTACATATACAACATGTAACAAAAACCCAGTGGTTCCCGTTAAGTACGTTATCAGGATCAGTATTGAAAGCTATAGAAATAACTTTTTTTAAAAACTCGACCATATTTTTTTAATTTTATTGAAAATTTTTATTTTTTATTTTATGTGGTTTTGTTACATCTTACTGTCACTAGCCCATGCTAAAGCTAAGTAAAGCGGGGTCTTTGAGAATCCTCTTACTCCCCAGACAATGCAGAGGTAATAAAACCACATACAATTTGCATACAATTTTTTTTAAATAAAATAAAAAAAAACATTGTTCGAGTTTAAAAAAAAGTTATTTCTATACGTTTGAATAATGATCCTGATAACGTACTTAACGGGAACTACAGGGTTTTTGTTACATATTGTATAGACACCTAAGAATTTTACCGATTGTACAAGTGGCACAAAGTATTCCTCGTGTATTTTGATATTCAAGGTATATCGTGTTTTAAATAATATACTTTACTTATCTTCACGCACAATCCCTGACGGGGTAGCCAGAGAGAACAGATCGCCAAGTGTCACGATCCTTACATATCTCTTTCGCTTCTTTCAGATTCATTATCTTCTTCATACATGCACGTCTAGGTATCCGAGTACTCTTGACCCTACCCTCTTCGAGCAATTTGCTCACATAATATAGCTTTAAAAGTTACAGCCTATATAGTCCCACTGCTGGGCACAGGCCTCCCATCATTTTTGAGGGTTTTAGGGCAAGAAAATGTCCGCCACGCTGCCCCAATGCGTGTTGGCCAACTTCACATGTCTTCGATTTTTTTTTCTTATTTCTCAGACATGCACTTTTCCTCACGATGTTTTCTTTAGTAGTCTTTTCTGAATTCAGCACAAGATTATTTCTATTAAACCACTGAGTAAATGCTATAAAAGAGCTCTATTTAATATATCGTTAAGAGATCATTTATATTTGTGCCGATATCACCGCATTTGTATCGTCTTCAAAAACTACAATCTTGACATCCGGTAAAGAGTTACCCATAAAGGGGATCAAATCATAACTCAATATTATGAAGATTGGTCCCAAAATGGAGCCTTGTGGCACTCCTCTATTAATTTTATATAATTTAGATTTATACGTCTTTTCATACTTATCTTCGGTACACTTCAGTTCAATATATTGTTGTCTATTTTCTAAATAAGACTTGAATAGCTGTAGTACATTTTCCTTTAGTACGTAGTATTGAAGTTTTTTGATTAATATTTTATGATCCACCATACCAAAAGCAGAGCTTAAATCCAGAAATAATCCTTTATTTTTATTGTGTCCATTTGTTATGACATCATCAATTAATGTATTTATCACTTATCGCTTATTTGGTTGATATCCAAATTATCGTATTTTTATTATTTTATTATGATGTACATGTTTAATTAATCTTATTTTAATCAGTCTTTCAAAATTTTTTTAAGTAGTTCGTAAAAACGAGATGGGCCTGTAGTTTACATAGTCATTTTTGAACCTTTTTTATGTACAGGTAATACTTTTGCAATCTTTAATTCCTCTGGGAAAATGTCCTTTTCATAACATATATTGTAAAAACTTGCTAATGGTGATCTTAAAAAGTCGATATTTTTCTTATAAACTGAAATTGGTATGTCATCCCAAGCGCATTCTTGTTGTCTTTCATACTTTTCAAATTTCCGCAGGTGTTATATGATCCTAACTCATATCATTTATGCAAGGTTGTACATTTTGCTCAAGAAACTTCATTGATAGTTCTAAGGAACCTGTCTAGGGTGATAGGCCATGATCAAAAATTTCCGCAAAGATATCACCAAGTTTTTGAGTGCTTTCAATATATTTGTTGTTTTACTTTAAAGAAAATTTATTCTCGTTTACATTGGAAACTTTCTTTCTGTGTTTCCCAAATCACCTTACCCGAGTTATTAGATATCTCCATTTGTGAATGTATTGAGAACTTTTTGCACACCTCACTACGCTTTTGTATATTTTAATATAATCGTTTTTAAATCTACAATAGATTTATCATTAATAGAACTATGTGCTGGCACAAGAAAGCACTTCATATATCTGGCCACCTTTATCCCTTTAGTAACCCAGCATGAATTTTGTTTAGTTCTTATTCTAATTGTTTTCACTTTGTCTTGAAACTTTCATCAACGATTTCATACAAGTTTTTTATGAAACTATTTGTACCATCATTTTGCCATTCAACTTTCAAAATGTGTCCTCTGAATAAGTTATTGATCATCTCGTTAAATATTCTTTGTACTCTGGTAATAGTTTTATTTTTATTATTTTTTGTCATTCACTGGATTTGAAGAGTAATGTTACAGAATAGTGCCACGTGGCCATCTGAGAACCCATTTTGGTCTATTACAGTATTTTTTATGCAATCATCTGGAAGATTTGTTATGAAATTATCCAAACAGGATTGAGAATTTCCCCATGTAAAAGTAACCGATAAAATAAAGGGTTTAAAATTATAACATTTTAACAAAGAAAAGAGAAGAGCTAAACTTTTGATGGTGTTTGATAATTAAAAGATTGGTCAATGGTTAGTTGTAATTTAAAATACATAATTTTATGACATTTTAAATGTCAAAAATAATCTTAAAATTAATATTTTTAAAACAAAGTCCTCTTTTTATAGAATTGCATTTTTTTATAGCATAACAAATGAGCACACAGACCACCTGATGGTAAGTGATTGCTGTGGCCCATAGACATCTACATCCATCTTCGATTATGAATCAAAATGCGGATGCGTGTGACCCGTGAGGACTAAGATGGAATGCCTCATTTCCATTAAAAGGGTTTCCGGTCCTCTACACTCACCATACGAAACACAGTAGCGTTAAGCTGCCATTTTACGCTGGTATTCTGTGAGAGCGTGGTATATGGTAATTCTTATAACTCAGTTTGACAACAATAGCCTCAAATACGTCAGACAGAAAGAACAAAGGATATAAATAGTAGTATGGAATGCTACAATTACCTGTAAATAATGACCAACGAGAATAGAGGACTTTTCACTAAAGTCAGGCTTGCCAACCGCAACTGCCACAGTATAATCAGAGCCCTTGTACTCCATTGTGCCTTGTGTAGCCGTTAGTTTGCACTCTTGAACCTGTTGTAAAGAATTAACAAATATGTTTAACTTTACATGAAATCTTATTTTAAGCACTAAGATTTTTAGCAATTGAAACGTTTTTTGAACCTTAACTAACCTAATTATAATATATTCAATTATTGGGGTAAGACCTCTTTATATCCATCCAATGTTTTTTAAACATTAGTACAAACTCACGCCAACAAATGAAGAAAAATGGAGCGTTGTGTAAATTTCGAATGATACTGAAACTATGATACTCAAATTCTTGACCACACTCATGTACACATCTGGATGCAACTAAAAACCATTTTTTAATTGCAGATGATTTTAGATGTATATTCTTAGAATAAGTTGGGCATGGTTTTGGCTTGGTTTTTGCATCACTTGAAAATGTATCTAGTAACCTTTCTTTTTTTGCTGATCTGAGAGTACAAAATAACAACTACTGAATTTTTTGTACAGTAGTTTAATTATTTAATTTCTGCATTATTTTGAAAATAAGAGTTACTGATTTAGGTGTTTTAAATACATAAATTGCAAATGGAAAAACATTCAGACCTGGAACAATTATTTTTGTAGCCCAAACAAACATTTGTTGAATTCGAATTTGTAGCCTCAAAGCGCTGCAGCCTTTTAACTAGGTGGCAGGACTTCATTTCTGCTAAGAATCCATCTGGATAGGTACCATACTCTCACCTATTTGGCAAGTGGTAATGTCTTGCTGTGTCTGAAGGCTTTAGAGAAGCAGTATTCTCATAGACTGTGAGGTATTCCAGCTTAGTCCTCAGAGGTGACAATACATCCATAGCCTTTTTGTTTAAAGTTGGTTGCAGATATCCATTGGCTGCAGTAGCCACTTATCTGGACATATTTAGCCATTGCAGTTTGATGTCCGAAATAAGCATTGTCAAATAAACATACCTGTGCTGCTCCTTTGACTCTAATTTCATTGGTTAGTTGGTGGATCAAATTGAAGTTAATATTTCCCGCAGGATCCAAATCCCCTAAAACTACAGGGAAAGCCTCAGTTGGTGAGATTTGTTTGGTACCGATATATGTTGCTCCTATCTTGTAACCATTTTGTGCAGAACTCATGGTAAGGGTGTGGGACATCTGAAACAAGGATATAATTTAAAAGAAATGAAAACTCTTTATTTTTTGACATAGGTAGTTAAAATTTTTGTTTGTCAAACGTAAACATGTTTTATAATTTACTACAATTTGAAAATGAGGTTCTTCTGTCCAGAGAAGAAATGGCAGAAGAAACTCTGCAGGTATCCTATTTTTATCCTTTTTTTTTTAAATCCATTAATATTATATTCTTAATCAAAGTAATCGTAGATCTGACTTATTTATGTTCAAATATCTATTTTGCCTAAAAAAGGAGTTTCAATTTTCTTTTAGCATCCTTAAATCTAATTGGAATAACTTACCTGAAAATGATTTGAAATTCCCTTGTTGACCATAAGTTTACCACCCTCAAAGTTTACTGGCATTACCTCTGAAAAAAAAAGTTACTATAGTAACATAATGCAAATGCATTTACTTACATTATAATAAACAAACTCTCTCGAAATCAAAATAAAGGGCAGAAATTATGGACTTCCATTTGGCAGGATCCTATCATGCCTGTCTCGTCAACTTCACATTTAGATAATATCTATTCACTATTCATACATGCTTGTTGGTTAAGGGTACTCTTAATTTGGCCCATCTTTAATATATTGCCGATACATTATAATAAATAAAAATTATAATATAATACTAATTAAATATATACTTATATTACAAAAGGAGATGGGAAGCTGTGGTTGCCAAACCACCTGCCAAAATTGGCATCTAAGGTGTAGCCTATATTCAACAGTCGGGTTGGCTATACACGTCCGGTACTTGATTTTAATTATGTTTTCAGTTTAGGAGGCTTATTAGGGTTAAGCTTGAACTTTTTACACTGTTTTTGGATGTCGGAAATGCGTTTTGAATTAATTACGATATAAAAATAAACTTCAATAAATATTGCATTAACAAAACGCAAATACTCGTATGTCAATTTGGTCTAGTATTATGAAGTAACATCGATTACTTGATTTTTATTATGTTTTCAGTTTAGCAGGATTGTCAAGGTTAAGCTAGAACCTTTTATACTGTTTTTGAATTACGGAAATGTGTTTTGAATTAATTACGATAAAAATAAATTTCACTAACAAAAATTGCATAATATAACGAAACGGATCATCCATAAAAAAGTTAATTACTCGGACCCAGACAATCCATTTGTGGCTGAAGATGGGACTCATACATAATGAATTGAGTCGCAGTGGAGAGCAGTCAAAGAGGTTTTTCAGAAAACAAAATTATAACAATTCACATTACATTGTTTCATTTACCACTATAATAGCAGAGTTTAGGGCAATCTGACTTTATAGATAAGATAGGTCGAATCTGTACTAAAACCGAATCAGAAAGCCCCGACTCCACGTAGTCTTATCTGCCCTACCCCTAGAGTGTTTTTGTTAAGCCGTAGGTACGGAGGGAGAGCAGCTCCTGCCCACTGTAGCTAATCGCAGGCACCTGTGTGGGCCGTAGCGGATGAGGCTGGTCGCCGAAGGCGACCAACAAGCAGAGGCTGCGGAGGTGAGCATGGATGCCTGTGATTTGCTACGCAAGGGCGAAGGGGCTGCACTTCCCGCAGCGCCGAAACCGTTACAGAAGTAACTTTGAGTCAATATTACTGTGTAAAAAGGTAAGGTTATGATTTTACAAAAAAAAATTACTCATAAACTATACATTTCTGCAATGGAGGAAGGGTACCCAGGGCTTCCCCTGAACCTCCCCCTCCCTCACATCACCCTCCCCCCCCGTGTGTGAGTACTGGATGTCTATAGTTTTACCCAGCAGTGAACTTTGATTAACTGTAATGAATGAATGAATGAACACACTTATAATTTTCAACTTTACATTGTAAGTATGTGCTAGTAGAGCACTTAATCTTTTGGCTAAAATAAACCAAACAATTCAGCTTTGAGAGACTAACGATCCGCCCTGGCTTCACATGGGTGATTGCCGGATCACAACAAAAGCACCACTTACTGGGTCCAATTGTGAATTTAAACCATCCAGGGACCCACTCTAACTCACACAAAATATTTCATCAATATTGGTCCAGCCATTTTTTCGAGGTTTTGTGAGACTAACGGACAGCAATTGATTTTTATATGTATAGATAGAAGATTTATAAAAATTTAAAAACAAATTCTTAGAATGAAACGTTATTAAATTAAGTAAAACTTGACTGACAATGACATTTCAATGTCTCTACACATGATAATTTACATTCAATACCCAAATGGTAATATATGAGTGTTTGTGGTTAATAGTTTTTTTTTAAATAAAATTTGGGTGACAAACAAGCAAATACAGTTCACCTGATGGTAAGTGGATTCTGTGGCCCATAAACATAGTTGTGTATCACCAGCAACGCAAAGTCAGGAATTTGCATTTATAAAAATCTAAAATTAGGGGCTTCTTAGGTGCTAATTAGGTGCCAAGTTTAAAAATTAGGTGTTCTAAAATTTTCACCACAGTGAACTGTTAAAATTTGCATTGCAAGCAAAACATATCACTAGCATCGCAGTGACAATAATAGATATACGTTAAATATTAATCCAGTAATAAGGGTATGGCCTTCCCCGGTTGAGTCAACCTTTTGTGTTACAACCATAATATAGCTGCAGCACGGAGAAGTTTTTATCACCATGTATAATAGTAATAAAAACCTGTAATTATTATGAACATTTTGGCCCTAAGTTGTGTCATAAGCTTACACTGTTAGGATTATTATTACTCTTCAATAAAATTACAATGTGGTTCATCAACACAATGTGAAAAATTTGTGAAAAAATAATTCCAAACTAGTAACTTGTGCTGGCTTTATATGAGTGCAATATACCAATCTTTTTAAACCTAATAACAATGTTATATCTCAACCATCCTTATGTAATACATGTATATATTACCTTGCCCAAATACCTTGCTCTATACATACTCCAAATGAGGTCTCAAAATCCATCAAGTGCTTTAAGTTTTAAGTGAATAAGCCCAAAGTAAGTAATCTTTATAATTTGTTTTTCTATTTGTAATAACCAGACCTTGTTGCAAAATGGAAAGCACAAAAATAAAAGGATTTCCTAATATTATGTTGTATTGCAAAATATATGTATTTTTATAATTTGTAAATTAAATCCTTTTAATAATATTTTATTAGCTGATTGAATTTACTTTAAAATGTCCTCAGTGAACATACAAATAGTGTTTCCACAGTTATCGTTAAACAAATAAAGAGAATTTGTGAATACTATTATCATTCAAATTAAAGGTACCATTTTTATTAATGTGCAGTTAGTTGATAGATGCATGTGGTTCAGAACAGCAATTTGTGGCAATCTATGTGGGAGACCTATGTTCAATAGTAGATTTGTGATGGGATGTGGTGTGAGAATTTCTTTTATAATGTAACATTGACGTACAAACTAAGTCATTTTATGGGCACAGCTTAAAGCTGGACTGATAATTGGGGAATCTAGTTATATTACATCACAAGGTAACCAAACTTTTTCCATTGCCTTACCAAAGCGCCAACATTGATTTATGACTGAATAAATAATTTTAATACAAATTTATACATTCTATTTATGATTTATTACGATGCTTGATTTATTATGTTCGTATTTATTGGTATCGGAAGCTTTACCTTTGGTTTTTTTGTGCAATTCATCTAAAGTTCCAGGGTTATCACGTTTATTTTGATTTTCCATATTTTGTAAGTCAGTGCTAGTTAGCCCCGAGTTAGAAACACGATATCTGCTTGCTATGGCACCCATTTTATTGACTAAGTCGTTTTACTTTCTCTATAATCTAAAGAAATCGATGAACATGTGCAGTGAAACACAAATCGGTAGAATAAAAGACAATCGGTGTGAAGTTGACACTTGACAGAAGTTCTCTTTGATTACGATTATGATTTTATTATTTTATTGTGGCATCGGCTACAAGGCTTTCAATCAAATAGGAGTAACAAACGCTGTAGTAGGTATATTATATTTTACTAAATGTAACAAAAAGTATATAATCACTACGTGTAAACATCTTTTTTTCATAATATGTTGACATTACAGTAATTTATAAAAGTTTTGACGATAGTTTACGCTAGCAGACAGTTTCACAAATTCTTAAGACGTCTAAGATTATAACACAATTTGAAGATCACATCACCATCGTAGCACTTGTTTCATGGTTTCCATTTTCTACTAATAGTTTACATGCGCACATATTTAACACACAAAAATAAACTTTTAATAAGAAAGTGAAAGCCGACTTAAATATAGACAAATATAGATTAAAATAATTTCCATATAACTTCTTAAGTTGGGGTCTTAATCCTTCTATACACTGTGTTTTTCTCTAAACACCAACTTCAGCTTTTACTTTTCATGTTTTTTGTCAATTGATTTTTAACTATTTTCAGTGGACTAAGGAGTACACAATCCCAAGGTAACAAATAGAACGTTGCAATTCCGCATCCAGGTCTTTCAAGACCTGTTGAAACTTTTTTTTTACGCAGGGCAGGATTACAGTTTACGTGTGTTTTTTAAAGTTTTTTTATAAGATAAGGTGACAAGCGTTCACACATTCCACCAGAAACAGAAACAGAAACTTTTTTATTCAATATAGACTATAGATAATACTTATTGAAGAACCAGTAATAAACCCAGCGGGACTTTTTTTTTAAAATAACAGCTTACAATCATGCATGTTACACAATTAACCAAACAAAACAAATTAGAAATAGCTTGGTAGCGATTACTTCATTCCCAGGGGTTATTATCATCCATAAATTCCTTAATATTCTAATAACCCTTTTTCTGCCGACTTCCAAAAAGGAGACGGTACTCAATTCGACTGTATGTTTTTTTATGTGTGTTACCTCATAACTTTTTACTGGGTAAACCAATTTCGATGATTCTTTTTTTATTTGAAAGCTGATACTTCTCGTGTGGTTGATCACGGTCAGACCAGTAGTTATTGAGTTATTCTTAATAACTTATGTTGAAGTCGGCTGTAAAAAAATTTTAATTTTAAATTATAAACAAACTTTGTTTAATAAAGTTTGTATAAAAAGCTTACTCCTTTGTAAAAGGCCGGTAATGCATCTACAATTCCCCTGGTGTTGCGGTTGTTCATGGGCGGCGATAGTCACTTACCATCAGGTGAGTCGCATGTTCGTTTTTTTTTTTTTATAGGAGAGGGGGCAAACGATCATGCGGCTCACCTGATGGTAAGTGACTACCGCCGCCCATGAACAACCGCAACACCAGGGGAGTTGCAGATGCGTTGCCGGCCTTTTAAAAAGGAGTAGGCTCTTTTCTTGAAGGTCCCTAAGTCGTATCGGTCCGGAAAAATCGCTGATGGTAATCGATTCCACAAGGAAGTCGTGCGAGGAAGAAAACATCTTCGAAATCGCACAGTGGTGGACCGCCAATCATCCAGATGATGTGGATGGTATCGGGAATTCTGCCGCGATGTGCGTTCATGAAATTTGGCGGCTGGGATTAATCCGAACAATTCCTCAGAGCACTCCCCATGGTAGATGCGAAAGAAAATGCAAAGAGATGCAACATCTCTTCGCAGTGCCAATGAATCGAGCCGATCGGAAAGGGCTCGGTCGTCGACGATTCGAGCCGCTCTGCGCTGGATGCGGTCAGGTGGAAGGAGCTGGCACTGGGGAGCCCCTGCCCAGAGATGGGAACAGTATTCCATGTGAGGCGAACCTGCGCCTTGTAAAGTTGCAGGCGGTGTGCCGGCATGAAATACTGTCCCGCTCTGCTGAGCACGCCAAGCTTTTTAGAGGCCAATTTGGCCTTCTCTTCCAAGTGACCACGAAACTGCACGTCACTCGATATGTCGACTCCGAGGATACCGATACTGGCTGAGGCAAGAAGGGGAGTGCCTTGAAACTGAGGAGATACGACAAAGGGGTTTTTTTAGCGGTAAACGCGCAAACTTGTGTCTTCTGAGGATTAAACTGGATTAGATTTAGTCGCCCCCAATCCGAGACTTTGTCCAGCAAAGACTCGACTTCAGACACAAGTTTGTTCCGGTACTCGGCGACGTTTTCCCGAGAAATATTGGCCCGGCCGGTGTATAGAGCATCACCAGTGCTGTCATCCGCATAGCAATGAATGTTACCAGTTTGCAACATATCATTGATATGCAGAAGAAACAGCGTTGGTGATAGCATACAGCCTTGTGGAACACCAGCGTTAATAGGCTTGTAGTCAGAACATGCACCGTCTACAACGACCTTGATGCTCCGATCTGCAAGAAAGCTGGTGATCCAATTGCACAATTTCTCGGGAAGCCCATAGGAAGGGAGCTTCGAAAGAAGCGCTTTGTGCCAAACCCGATCGAAGGCCTTCGCAATGTCCAGACTAACGGCCAACGCCTCCCCCTTGGACTCAACTGCCTCCGCCCATCTATGGGTCAGGTAGACCAGAAGATCACCAGCTGATCGACACCGACGAAAACCGTATTGGCGGTCACTAATCACCTCAAGGTACCGGATGAGCTGGCAGTTAATAATGGGTTCCATTATTTTGGAAAACAAGGAGGTGATCGCGATAGGCCTATAGTTGGACGGGTCTGAGCGGTCGCCTTTTTTAGGGATCGGGTGGACAAAAGCCGTCTTCCATGATTTCGGGACTACGCCTAGGGAGTAGGAGTACCGGAAAAGACGCGTTGGGACCGGTGCCAACTCCGGAGCACACGTCCTCAGCACAATTGGGGGGATTCCGTCAGGCCCACTCGACTTCTGGATGTCCAGGGAGAGAAGTGCTTTGCGAACTGAGCGCTGTGAGAATAGCACATCCGGCATGGAGCACTCACACCGCGGGATGGTCGGCGGTATTTTCCCCCCGTCATCAAGAGTCGAGTTGGACGCAAAAAGGGAGCCTAAAAGGTCGGCTTTGTCTTTTGCGTCTTGGGCCAGTGAGTCGTCCTCCCTGTGCAGAGATGGTAGTGATGGCTTACAGAAATTCCCTTGGACAGCCTTGGCGAGAGCCCAGAATGCACGGGTTCCCGAAGGAAGGCGAACTAGTTTCTCGCCAATTCTGCCTATGTGCTCTGACTTTGCCTTGGCAATAACTCTTTTGAAGGACCTGGAGGCGAAGTTATACTTCTTTTTAAGTAGGCTGGTGTTTACATCCTGAGTCACCGAAGCCGCAGCCCAGGCTTGATAACTCTCCTGCTTACTGCGCAATGCAGTCTTACAGGAGCGACCAAACCAAGGCTGAGATCTGCCTCCGATGGGTACCACAGATGATGGAATAAATAGTTCCATTCCCTGTAGCACCACATCAGTGACAGAGTCAGCAACAGCGCTGGGATCATCCGGCGAGAAGCAAACCCGCCCCCATGGGTAGGATGCAAAGAAAGACCGCATTCCGTCCCAATCCGCCGACCTGTAATGCCAAGCACGGCGGCAACCTGCAGAACGCAACCACGAAGGGAGCGTGAGTGGCACCATACTCCGGATCAGACAATGGTCCGAAGAGCCGAGAGGGGCATCGACGGCAACCTGATATCCGTCCGGATGAGAGGTCAGCAGAAGGTCCAACAGGGAAGGTGTATGATCCTCCACATCTGGAATCCGCGTAGGCGAAGTAACCAGTTGTGTCAGACCATATGCCAAGGCAAAGTCATAAACAGATCTCCCCGCATGATCGGTTAAACGTGAACCGAGCCATTCGGCATGGTGGGCGTTAAAATCGCCAAGGATCACGATCTCTGCGGATGGGACCTGTTGCCTATATTTTTCTTCTATTAAAAAAAAATTTTGTGCAGGTCAAATTTTGTATATTTTCTGGAATTTTGTTGTAAAAGCGTATACATCGCACCAAGAATGAATTACTGACTCGGTGGTGTCGAGTAACTGGTACTACTAGCTTGTGTCTGTTCCTAGTATTTACAGAATGAATATCACATTTGTAAAACTACTTTAATTTTTGTATATGTACATTACATTTTCATAAATGTATTGAGATGCCAAAGTTAATATAATATTAATTTCCTTAAATTTTTATCGGAGCGACTCTTTAGGTTTTAAATCATAGATTGCTCTTATGGCCCTCTTCTGTAAAACAAATATAATTTCAGTGTCAGTCGTGTGCCCCAATAGCAAAATACCATACGTCATTATGTAGCTAAAGTAAAGAAGTCTAGCTGTTTCGACACTGGCTAGATTTTTAATATTTTTTTACAGCATATGCTGCAGAACTTAGCCTGCTTGCTAATTTTGCTATTTTTTTTATTTATTTATTTAAAAACTTTATTGCGCCCCTTTGGAAAAAAAAGGATACAAAGGGCGGACATAATGCCTAAAGGCATTCTCTACCAGCCAACCCATGGAGTGGTGAGAGTTTGTCGTAGGTGTAGCAATTAAAAGAAAAACAAATATTGAAACTAAAATTAATACACATTATATGTAATAAAAGAGATTATGATATAATATTATAAGCACATATATATATATATATATATATATATATATATATATATATATAAGTTTAATTTAGTGTCTTGGTACCATAAGTTTTCACTGATTCACTACCGTTAGCTGCGTATAATTTATATTCACTGCACTGGTTTGCACGGTCATTTCTCACAGCTGGTAAAACAGACACATTGGCACCTGTGTCGATTAAAAATCTAAGCCCAGAGTTAATATCTGACACACACAAACGATTAAATGGAATAATGGTACAGACCTCAAGATCCTCGGACTGTACCTCGCCGCTCAGTTTTCCGACAGCTTATGTTTCCACGC